GGAAATGACTAGTATTAGGCTCTCAGAGGGAGGATGAAAGTGGACACTACAAAGCCTCCGGGCATGCCAGGGAGAAAAGTGTCACTGCCTAAGGATCCAGCTGTCCCCTGACAAGAGTGGCGTCCACTGTGTTCTGTGGCTGAGTCTCAGAACACATCATTTGGGTTCTTGTTTCTCATTTTTTACCGTGGCCTTCGGATTCGATGGGACTGAATGTCATCACTAAAGGAAGGTGACTCATTATCATCGTTTTAAAATGTTGTTCAATGACCCTGCCGTTCAGGACAAGGGAGACAAACTGGGGACATCGTGCTTTGTGCAATGGGCCAGAAACAAAAGGCGCCATGTGGGCTCATTGTAAGTGGGCTCTGAAACAAGGCTGAATTTGCAGAAACAGGACAAAAGCGTGTTGTTGAGTGAGGAGTGGAGGGAATTTAGGGGACAGAGCAAGTGGTGAGACTCATGGCCACATAATGTCATTAAGGCAGTTATAATGGGAAGACCATGGTTACACACGTTACCAAGCATAGCATGCTGATGCACATCTGCAATTCCAGCACCGCAGGAGGCTCTGGCAGAGGGTTCACAAGTCTGAGGCCAGCCTGGGCAATGTAGCTTAGCCAAACCCTGTCTCAAAGTTAAAAAAAAAAAAAAGCTGGAGATGCATGTAGCTCAGGGCAAAGGTCCTGGGTTCAACCTTTAGTACTGAAAAAAAGATATTATATGTAGGAAATTTGCAAAGAGATTTGATTTTAGGAAGCCTTACACCATATACACACATGCACGCACGCACCGATGCACACATACAGACCCACAGTGACAGTACAGGGTATTGGTAAATTATATTTTGCCCAGTTAGGTTGATAGGTTGATAGAAATTGGTAGGTTCCAACATGCTCCTCCCTCTCTTCATCTTTCCCTCTGCACTCTGGCCAGCTGCCTCTTTCACCCCTAGTCTTGAAAGACCTGCCCTCTACCATGGGGGTGTCTGGTCCACATCTCCTTGTAGAATGGCATAAGGGAACATTTGGTGTCATCACCTTGCCTGGATAGTTTACAGATGACAGCAGCTGGCTGGCAGGACACCACAGGCTCAAGCTGCTTTTAAAACATTCCCGACCCCAGGGGTTCTGCTTCTGTAGTTTTCTGGAAGCAGTCATGTTCTGAGTGCAACCTATATCCCACAGCCTAGAGCAGGGTCTTCTTTTCTCCCACCGGGTCCAGTGAGATGGATTCTGTGCAGCAAAACCATGAGGTCTTGAACAGTCGCACCTACATTCCAGGACTGTCCAGGAGCACATGGAGTTTTCTGCTTCATAAATGTCTATTCTCTTTTCAGCCACAGCTTTCCTTTCAAAACAAACAAACAATCCTCACCTTTCATCTACGTATGAACATTTAATACAAGCATACCTGGGCATGGTTTCTTTTTTGTTTGCTTTTGCTTTTGCTATCCAGGGAATTGAACTGAAATTCTTTGCAATGAGCTACACAACAGGTACTTTGGAAACAAGGCCTTGCTAGGTCGGTAAGTTTCCCAGTCTGGACTCATATTTGTTATCTGCTTACCACAGCTTCCCAGAGTGCTGGAATTGCAGGAATGTACAACCAAGCCCGATTTGTGGCCATGCATCTTGGAGGCAGTGCTTCCATAGGTCTCTAAACTTTAGTCAAATATCAAAACTAGATGTTCAATGACAGAAAATGGTTAGTTTGGGTATTTCAGACTCCTTTGAGAATAATAACCACTACAGATCTAAAAGAAAACCTTCTTGTGATTAACCATGTGCTAAAAGACACAGACTCTGTTTCAAAGAACTTTGCAATGAATTGTGTCAGTGACTGTGATACCCAGTAGAAATGATTTTTCATCAATTGGGTGCTAGTGCCCTGTAATGTGGAATGTTAGAAGAGACAGTGACTGTTGATTGCCCAGCTAAGCAATGGGGAATCTACAGTGGGCAGAAGGCGCTCTAGGGAGTTTTGTAGGGCACAGCCTGTGGGTGGAGAGGTGTGAGAGAGCCAGTAGCATTGGGTGGTGTCCTCTTTGGGGAGTGAGAGGTCCAGATAGAGGTGGGTTGATCCAAGGTTTAGGAGGAGAATAATCACTTGGTACCAAACTGTGCTCTTGGGGACTCAGGCTATGGGAGAGGCTCTGGATGTATCGGGTGGGAGAGAAACATGGTAAGGATTTGGCTCTGGGAAACGTGACTTGACTGAGACATGTGGTGAATTAGAAAGAGGAGGAAGCGGGATGGGAAATAGGAGCAGGCGCAGAGATATTGGTTGGGCTGTATCCCTCTTTCACTCCACATGGTTACAAACACACATGATATGTGGGCTCTTAGAAAGTACTGTCCTGTCCACTCAAGGCTGCAAAGCGTTCTGATCTGTCTCAGCATCCCGATTTGGTACAATGTCAAACTTAAGATGGTGATCCAACCCGATAATTTGATACCTAACTTGTGGAGTCTCCTAAATAGAATGAATGTCAATGAAATCCATCACTACGGTCTGTGATTATCATGGTAATCATGTAAGTACATACACAAGAGCTTATAAGCAAGGGCTTTCTGCCTCTTACAGGGAGGGACTGCCAGCAGGTATTCAAACACCATCTTAATAACCTTAACTCAGCTACCAACAACATAGATTTTTATTTCGGACATGACAAAGTACATGCGAAGAGCTGGCAAAAACCATAATGGCCCTTTGGAGGGTAATTCAGAACAGTCCCTGTGAATCCCACCCAGTCCAATACTGCTTATCTCAAGTATGCATTTTAGCCAAGTTCTCTGTTCTTAAAACCAACACAATTTTTTATTGTTCAATTTAGGTTTGGGTTCTTGTATGAAAATCTTTTTCTACAGGGGAGTCAATGTCTCTGTTGGGTCATTTTATCCATGCATTACCAAATAGGTTTCCCTGTACCACAATCTCAGTTCCAAACTATAACACGTAGTTACAAAACCTCATCATGAAGCTGTAATTGCCAACCTAATACAAACTGTATCACATGTTTTGACATAAAATTTCAGTTGACGTCATTATACATAACATAGAAAACATCTACCTCATAAACCTGTCTATGTCCCAAGTTAAATATTTCAGGTTCTGTTTCTACATTGCTTTCTTCTTCTCCAAGATGCTCTGTAACATGAGTAGGAGTCCTTCTCTTTGATGGTAGATGGGAGAAGAACCACAGGGAGGGACCTCTTGAGACGACAGCCTGTCAGCCTTCAAATCAAGGAGGAGCTCTCTCTTTGCGAGCCCGAAGATTAAACAGACTAATGAAGCAGTCCTTTAGACCGCTCACTCCTGGGAGATCACATCAGAGCCCCATCAACCACAGCAGGCCTGGGAACAGTCGCTGCTGTCAGCTGGCGGTCTACTCTTGTCTTGTTGGGAATCTTGCTCCTCTCTGGGAAATGACTCTACTTAGGGGAGACAGATGTCATTCTACCTGATTTTATGTTTCTTAATCAGGATCCCAGAGGTAAGATCCCTCTTTAGCCAATCAGGTACTAGAAAAAGCATACTGGGTATTTTATATTCTGGAATCACTTCCTTTCCACCGTCAGTGCATTTATTTTTAACAGAGAAATTTTTATTGCAGCCTTCTAAATGTCTCATAGAAAGGCAGAATCCAAGATGTCAGCTGCCTTCAGAGTTTCCTAGAAATGCCTTGATCTGTCACCAGGCAGTGGATAGGAATGTAAATTGTTAGAGACTTAAATCTTCCAGCTTTCAAGAGGACTCTGAGTCATGCTCCTTCTCACCTTCCATTTGCATCTCTGGATTAATCAGAATTTCTGGTGCAGCTCTTTTGAAGTTTTTAGATATCGATGTATGTTCAGTGCATAGAGTGGCATAAATGCAGGTACTTTCACCTCTTCCTGATCCTCCTCCTCTGTCTCTTCTTCCACCAACCAATATGATTCAGGAAAATAAAAGTATGCGAACATAAAACTGAAGTCACAGAGCAGATATTAGATTTTTGTTCTGAAATGAATTCTGATGATGCATATCTTAATGAATAAGAGATAGGAATTTCTTTTAATTAAACAATGCATTGTTTCAATTAAGTAAACTTCATTTTGTTTTATTGCCATCTTTGAAGTATGGGCAACTTTTGTCTTCTCCATTCTGCTATTTCCTGTTGCTTCTCTGCTAACATTTTGCAAGCAAACAGAAGCGTGCTCAGAACTTCATTTTGATACAGCATTAATTTCTGATCTTTGACTCATTAAATGACAAGCCCTGTCATCTCTGACTTGCTACCCTGTTTACCATTGCAGACCTGTCCCTAATAGCTGTAACACGTATTATTCCCTGAGACATTGGAGAGCACAAAGCATGACAGAATCGGAATTAGTTTTGCAAGGGAAGAGGAGGACAAACTGATTTCACTTCTACCACAGAGGTCTAATGTATTTCCAGGTCACCTTCATTATTTCAGAGATCACTTTAAAGCAGTCTAAAAAGTTATTAGTACATTCATATTAACTGATATTATTAATTTCTAAATATACATAATCTGAAATTTAAAGGCCATTAAACATTTTTCAAAATTTGCCTTTTGCTTTGAAACCCTGAATATTTTTAACGAAGCAGCTTTCTGGTACTAAATCACTTCCAACATAACAGAGGCCAATGCCATTTATTTTCTTTTATAACCATGACAAGAACATTGAAAGAGTGGATCTGAACCAACCAGCAAATAAACTGTCCCCTTTTCAGGTCTCCACGGATATATATGTCAGGTCAATCCGGCTTACTAAGCCAATGTCTTGTTAGCGATTCGCAAGAAGCAGAAATTGTGCCCTTTCCACCCAAGAACTTGTGATGTTATAAGATGTGAATGACAAACATGCAAGAATTCAAGAGCCCATGCGAGGCCACATGTCAATAATGTGTGGCAGACAGAGCAGGTGATGTAGATACCGAAGTCATAAGAAGAAAGGAAATCCAGTCTTGTGCTGTGGTCAGGGGAGTCTTACCTGCTCTCCGAAGGACATTGCCTTCAGGGCTAGCACAGGAACTGGACATAGAGATTGTGCATGGCCGGGCCTGTGTTCCTCTGAAAAACCCAACAGAGCAGAGAGGCTGGAATCCACCTCTCGCTTCCTGTCCACCTCAGCCCCTGAGATGCCTCCTCCCTCTCACACGGTTGATTGCTGTTGATTGCTCCCTAGAAACTGCACAGTCATGATGACTGTTCCTGCTGCTCTCATTTATCCCACAAGGAGATGAGGGGGTGCGCCCTGTGGAAAATGATTCAGAGAGCAGGGGTCAAGGGAATCTGCTGGGCTAGGGATTTTTGTTTTCTGGGCACCTGAGACACCCCAGTTGGTGACCAATAGTCCTGTCACTGAGCAGGTCATCTCTGCCCTAAACATCCCCTCATTTGAGCATAGCAGACCCTTTCTACTGGAGCAACCACTGTGACTGAAACAAAGGTCATCTCTGACCCATAGTTGTGCCAAAACCAGCGGGAGCATGCTGGAGGGTGGGGGTCTAGATTTCTGCTCCTTCACATGAGGATACTTCGCAAGCCTCAATTTTCCTGTAGAAAGAAAGGAGGTTAGGCTGAAGCATAAATTATTTCCTATCATTTTATGTTTTTTTTTTCCCCAAAACATTGATAAGGCAAAGGACATTTCCCCAGAACAATATTTCAAATGAAAGAAAGTAAAAAAACATTCAGCCTGTGAAATTTATATAGTTTCTTCCTATATCCTCCAGCAGCCAGCAGCAAAACCTGTCAAATCCAGGCCACCAAGATGCCCGGACTCTGCAGCTGTCCCTCACGGAGACACGGCTCTCAGTGACTGATTTTCAGGTGAACAAAGCCAGGAGCCACTCGGAACTGGGTATGAAGCTCAATGAAGTTTGGTACAGAAGTTGGAGCTTCAGAGGCAAACTGGAACCTTCTAAGCCCGACCTGAAAGCCTTCCCCTGTGCTCTCTTCCTAGGAATATGAGAAGTTAAATAACTTGCTGTCTCTACCTCATGAGATAGTGGTAAGATGCAGAAACCTAGATTTCTAGTCTCCTGATCTAGCCCACAGACAGCACTTCCATGTAATTAGTCAAATTGATTGAAAACTTAATTACACATAATCCCACACAAAAGGGCGTATGATAATCACACATGCAAAGCTTCAGGGATGCAAGGAGAGGGGGGCCGAGTCTGTGATCGCCTGAAGATGGGGAGCCGACTGTGGTCCCCAAGGCAGTGACTGCACGGGAAGCCTCCTATGGCAAGGTGAGATGCCTGGCTGGAACGTATATAAGAGGCACATTAAAACATTAAGTAGCATTTCAGGTAGAAAAGAAGGAATTATCTCCTGCCAATATGCTTTCCCCCTGACTTAGGACGAAGCAGCTAAAGAAGCTGGTGAGAAATCTGACTTAGAAAATCCCTGACAAGGTACTGAGTTCTCTTGGATGCCCCTAAAAATAGCCAGGCACTCCTCAGGATTGTCACACACTGCTGGCTCATGTGCACTCTTGCTGTGGTGTTGATGGGAGTGATTTTGGAGATAGTTTGAAATATAACTCAGAAAAATGACTCTCTTAGGAGAGAACAAGTGAGGCCACAAATTTGAGAATTGACATGGCCTGCCCAAATGAGAGATAAGAAAAGGAAAGTAAAATAACATAAAATAAACAATAAAAAATCTGCACTGTTTCTGCTTTGCCTTTGCACATCATGAACACAGACCAAGGAAGAAGCAATGTCCTCCAATCTGAATGAGGAAGTGAAGAGTCTTTACCACCGCAAAGGATTTTATTTTCAAAAGATTTTCGAATGATAAGTTTTTAAAAATCGTCATTTGTCACTATTGTTTCAATATTACTGCTTATCTACAATTATATCACAAAGTCTTCGTACCATAATTAGAAAGTTGGGGTAGCACGAAGATGCTTTATTTGAGAGGCCAACGTACATACACAGAGTAAAACCAAACTCACCGCTGGCCACACACATGCGTTTCTACTGATTGAGTACAGGAAAGCATGTTTCTTTAATTCTCAGATGTGAACTCAGACACAAAAACCTAATGTGGAATAAAAGAAAGAAATTTGATAGAATTATACTTTTATTATTAGACTGTTTAACTCTGAAGATAAAGAAAAAAACTTGAAGTTATAATTTCCCTATGGTTAAATAAAAGTGATTAATAAAGACTTAAGTGAAAAGTAAATATACCTTTTAGTTTGCCACAATCTGCATCTCATCAAATTCCTAGCAGAGATTACTGAATATATCAAAGACTTTAATTGGTTTAGCCATTGGTATAATCCTTTGAGTGCATTCATTTGTCAGATGAAGGCTTTGTTTTTCAACTCAAAAGGTAATATTGCTCTGGAAAATGCATTGTAGGAAAGCATTTTCAACCTTTCCTTCTCCACATGCAGTAGGCTGTGCGGCCAGGGGTGTCTGCAGACCACACAGCACCAGATAATTTTCCTTCTGTGGATGAAGGAGACACTGCAGGAAAGAGACTAGTTTATCTCCAGGAACATTTATATTATTTCTATTTAAAATCCATGACGTATATTTTGTCAGTTTGTCACAGGTTTGCTGATGGTGGTTTATTAAATGCTGCACTGTAGTACATCCAGATGGGAGAACCTGCAAGGTGTACAGACACAGATACTCCCTTTCCACAGGAGAATCAGCCACGTGACCTCTTCGATTGTTGTGCTGGACCCTATGTTTAAGTCTCCATCTTAAGTAATAAGAATATTTTCTGCTGTTAGTGTGCAGTGTGCCCTGAGGATCTGCACTTTATGTCTGCGGAGGGAACTATTTCAATGTAATATTGATGTCACCGTCAAAAAGCCCTCTTGTCTCTCAGGATAGCATAGTAGTTTTCTACAACTGCATACAAATTACCCCAAACTTAGTGACTAAAGCAAGGTCTGAGAGTAGGGCAAGATTCACAGAGCGTAACTCGGATCTCAGTTCAGGGTGACACAAGCCTGAGATCAACATGTGCCTGGTGAGTTCTCTTCAGAAGCTTGAAGTCCTTTCTAAGCTCAGTCAGGTTCTCAGGAGGATGCAGCTCCCAGGCTACAGACCAGGGCCTCTGCTTCCATCCGGGATGTCAGTTGGTGATGTGTCAGCTCCTGGAGGTTCCCCTTTGGTCATGGCCACGTGGGCATCTCAAAGTACAGCCTCTTATTTAAAGCCATCTGGGGGCTTTCTGGTCAGTAGTCTAAGATGAAGTCACACGATATAGCACGGCCCCTGGAGGATCACGCTGGCACATCTGCAGCTCCTTTGCACTCCATCTTCAGGAGTGACATAGGTGGTGACAAGGCTCTCAGCTCTGAGCCATCAGATTTTACCTGGTCTGCCCTCCTTACCAACTCATCAACATCAGCGTGACCCAGAGAGAAGGGGTGGAGGTGATCTCCAGCCTGCCCCAGCTGCCCTGTGGCTCATCCAGCCTACCTATCTCCCCGAGCTTTAGGCTTCAATTCTGGGATTCTAGACGTTTATGGTGCAAGCATCTCCCTAAAACCTCACTCTTCTTCAGTCTCTCTGCTGCTGTTCTAAATCAGAGCTTCAACGCTTGTCTACATCTCTGCTGTCACTTGTTTTCCGGCGTGTGTTCTCTGAAATAGGAATGTCTCTCTGGTGTGTTGGTAAGACCATGCAGGAATTTGACTTAGAGCCTTCGGTGGCTCCACAGCTCCAATCATTTGCCCAGTTTTCTTCGTAGGATGTTAAGGGCTCCAAAGCCCTGGACTCTGCCTCTGGAGCCAGCTGCTCACCTCCTTGCTTCTCTGCACAGATCTTCTTGTTCTTTATGTAATGACGGGAACAGAAAATTCTCACTCAGTCTGCCTTGGACAGATCATGGCCCAAGGACTCCAATTACCACTTTGATATATGCTCGCAGTGATTATTTGTAACCATGTATTGGCTCTGAATGTCTAGTTTTCAGGCTTTGTCCTCCTTTAAAAGAAGAAAGTAATCTATTTAAGTTACTTAACTACTCACGGGCTGCATTCTACAAAATATATCCTTTGTGCAATTGGAATCAGATTTTGAAAGGAAGGAAAGGAAGATATTTTTTATTTACTATTAGGAAAAATGACTATTTAGAGCATGAGCTTTTTCTATCAATTTTGATTTTATTTTCCTCATATATCTTTAGGTATTGTCCAGATGTGTATCATCGTTGTATTCATGGATGTGTGTCATCGATATGTGTTTGTCAGCTATCCCATCCTGGGACCTAGCATTTGACACCAAGTTTAAGGACAGTGGTCTCACTTGGCTCACAGTTTCAGGGGACTCAATCTATGGTCTACTGGCTCCAAGTCAGGAGCATCACGGTGGAGGAAAATTTTTCACCTCGGGAGCAGAAATATTGACACGAGCTTTGCTGAGACAAGAATACCCACTTTGGGGTCACTCACCCTCCAGGGAGATCCTCTTCTCAACAGGCCTAGCCTCCTAGTAGCATTATTGAAGTATGAACTCACCCGTAGATGAACCACTGAGGCAGGTGGTGTCACCATGAGCCAATCACCTTCACAGAGCTGCACTTATGAAAACATGAGAGTTCGAGGGATCATTTTAGATCTAAATCACCACAGATTAATTACCATCTCATAATATGTTAAAAATGCCATCTAAATAGCTGCTCGTGAAATCATGCTTGAGTGTTACAAATGGTATAGTTTTCCAAGTGCTCTCAAGCATGTCTTATTCTTCACGGTGATCATATGATCTTGGCAGTTTTACCCTGTTTTGTAAAGATTAAGCCAACAAAAGCCATATTTTTAAGTAATCTGTTCAAAGGATTCACCTAGCAAATGTTAGAACTTGTACTCAGTTCTAGGTTTTCCCTCATGACATGTGTGGTCAGTTCTTACAGCTCTTGTGGAAGATTCTTAATCATTTGTCAACATTTCTGAGCCCCAAGCTTTGCCGAGTTAATTCTCAGCCAGTCAGTGGCAGAGCATGAGCCAGCCATGACAGGTGTCTCTGTGGCCACAGTCAGCGGTGCCACTGCAGATTCCTCACATCCTTGTGCCCCACAAGCTCAGCTTTACACCTTCACCGTGGAGCCTCACAACCCTGTGTGGTGCACAGTCTGTCACAGTCCCTCAGAGGCTGGAGGCTTCCTATCTACTACTGTGCAG